ACAAAGCCTTATCTCAGAACTGGGCATCTCTCAGTTCTCCCTGCTCCTTTCCGAGCCTCATTCGAGTTACGGACCCCCACCAGTGTCACTGCCCCTTTGGTACTTTGGGTGCTCCTAGGATGCATCATTCCAGCCCGTTCTTCCCACTTAGCTGCAGTAGGAGGCAGCAGTGCAGGTTCGTAAGCTATGATCTTCACTTCAGCATACTGGCTCTTGAGCTGGTGCAAACACTGGGGCTACAGAGCTGGGCAGAGCCTCTGGAGGAGCTCTTAGCAGTTGGTTTACAGGTAGCAGTCAGTAAGCAGAGGGCCATAGGCAACGGGCAGTACTTTGCCTGAAAGATTTCTGTAGCAGCCACATCCCCTTTCCTGGCCATTAATGAGTGGTTATTTAAAACTCTGAGAGCTTATCTTTAGCTCTTGTTGGAAGGCTGCTCTGTTGTGTGCATGCCTGAGCATCTGTGGCGATTCCAACTAGCGTCCAGATGCCCAGCTGTTGTAACTGGGAGCCTCCAAGCAGCTCAGTGGGTCAACAGCAGCTGAGAATCTCTCATCCATGTGCGAATTTCACAGTCTGTCATTCCTTCAGGGATCTGCTTTGGTGCAAATATTCCTGAGAAGCCCCCGGCCCTGCTCGTGCCTCAGGTTTGAGAAACCAGAAGGTAGGAGTGCTCCTCCAACTAAGCACTGATCACAGGATCATTTAAACCCAGGACTGAGAGGTCTTTTAGCGCTGGTATTGGAGGCTCATGTTTTCAGGTTTTCAGGACATGGAGCATAAATCTGCACTGTTAGAGTCCCACTTACGCTTCGCTGGAGAGCTTGATGGTCCCAAGGGCTTGGGCTGTCTCTGAGCACAGAGAGCTTTTCTACCCACAGTTAACAAAGCATTACCTCCACTGTCTGTAGCCCTGGTGCTTGGCTGTGTCTTCTGCTTTATCTTCTGTTTGTCCTTCACCATGTGCATGGACCTCATTTTCCCTGTTTGTGAGCATTTTCTTGAATGGTTTCTTGTAATGAAAAACTAAATATGAGAAGGCTTTTAAGAAGCAACTACCAAATTTGTTGTGATGCAGTAGCAACGCTGGGATTGTCAAAGGATCTGGGAGCAGTGTAGGTACCCTGCCCCTCCCAGCACAATTCCCATAGGCCCCTTTGAACATCAAAGCTAAGACATTGCCATACTCATCCATGCCTTTTGTATCTAGGTTTAACCCTTGGGTGGTTAGTTTTGCATAAGAGTTTGCACTTTGTGAAGTAATCTGTGAGCATAATATATATTGCAGCTGTCTTTCACCTGTATGTTAAAACCAATCTGAACGAGTTGGGGAGAGAAAGAAAGAAATTGGGATCCGTGTCGATTCTACAAAACACGCGGCTCTTCAGTATTCACTTAAGTCTTCCTTTTATTTTCCTTCATTGACTCATGATGACTTTTGGATTTCAATTTGTTCTTCGAAAGAGTAAAGGAAAAAAAAAGCAAGAAAATCACAAAAAAAAAAAAGATTTTTTGCAGGCTGTGTAAGCATGTTTTTTCCTGTGAGAGCTCGTCTGCTTTGTGTCTGTTTATTGAATGTCATATGTAAATGCTTAAAGAAAAAAAAACATGACTTAATTAATTAACCGCAGTGACTTGAAGCTCTAAAAATAATAATAATAATTAAAACAGAAACAGTAGGATTTAATACTAGCTGGATTTAACCCTTGGATTTGTGATTGTGAACCATGAGTGGAGGAGCTGTAAGTGCTAAAGCTGATCATGTGTGTAGACAAAAAGAAGTACTGATATTTGACCATTGTCTCAATGGCAAAAAAAAAAAAACAAAAAACAACAAAAAAACACCCAACCCCAAGTCTTGTGTTTTATTCCTGAAGAACTCTGTGTTATATTACCATGGGAACTCCTAATAAAGACAAAATGTTGTTGTTTCACTGGGTGCATCTGTGTCTTGAGGGTATGTGTCTGTGTAACTGCACATCTGGGCTGGTGCCTTCAGCAGGCAAGAATCTGGGCCCTCAGGTTGCTGTAATGTGGGTGAGGAAGAGGGAGGAAGGCAGCAGAAATACGGTTCCTGGGAAGGTGATAGTGAAGATGCCAATAGTGTGATTTCCTGTATTACTGCCATATCCTCAGCCATTCTATTTGAACCCTCATCACGATGGTGGTGAAGGAGAGAAACAGCCTTCAGTGGAAGCCACGCGCAGGTAATGGAATGGGGGTGATGGGGCTGACTGGAAGAGCAGCAGCGAAGCCTCCAGTGATAGCAGTTGGGTCGTGTCATGAGATGTGATGGAGATGGCACTGGGCATGGGTGGAGGTGGGGTTTGGCCAACTTCTACCCACTTCACGGTGAAGGTCACCCATCCATGGTGTGGAACAGCGTTGGGTTAGCATTTAATGAGCAGCACTACGCAGCAGTCACCTGCTAATAAAGCACTTGGGTTGGTGTGGGGTTCCTGACTCTTAGCAGTGAGGTGTGGTTATTGGGCTCAGGCATCAGCACCCATGCAGTGAAATGGCGTAGTTCAGGTTTGCTGGTCAGCTGTATGGTGTCACAGCTTATCACAGCAATAGATGCAGCCTAAAGCACTGCTGTTTGGTTAACGCACATCTGTGGAACTTCCACTTGGTTTTGTTATATCACTGTTTCTTCCTCAAGATTCTGAGTTGGAAGGAAGAAATGTCTCCTTCAGGAAATCAGTGCCAGGGACTCTGAACCTGCAACAGAGCAACGCTGTGGGGGGGAAAATCAACAGAAGTGTATAGAACCTGAGGTCAGGAAGAAGAAATCAATCTTAATTGATTAACTGACCTTAATGCACTGAGGAACAGAGCAGCCAGAAATCACAGAAGGACGTTGAGGTCAGTGGGGCTGTGCTGCTGCAGAAGGGCACAGGAATAGCTGTGTTGTCAGCCCACTAATCCAGGTAATGCCTTATGCTGGCAGCACTGAGATCCAGCTCACAGCTCATTAGGCTCCAAGCCTGCCATTAACTGCTCTATGTGCATATAAGGCCAAATATAGGTCTAATCTGAGCTTAGAATTGATACAGAATTAGCAGCTAAAAGCAGAAGAAAGGAAGTAGAAGTAGCACAGGATTTTCAAAACCAAAGCTATTGTGACCTGGAGCTGTTTCATATCTACCTTCCCAGTAGGTATGTAGAAGAACATGTGTGATGCTGTCTGACCCAGCAAGTTTTTCAGTAGGCAAGGTTAATTTGCACTGTTTTGCATTTTGTGGTGGGTAAAACCAGTGTTCATGCAGCTTAAGACCTTCCACCCCAGAAGAGCATGTCCTGTAGGGAGCTGCAAAGACCCTTGGAGCAAACTGGGAAGGTCCTGCAGTACGTTGAGCTCTGCAAGTTCTCTTGGACACCTAATAGTACACTGGGGTGCCCTGCGAGACCTCCAGAGCACCTGGGGAAGCCTCTGGGTCACCATGGAGCATGCATTTGAGCACTGTCGGTACCCTTGGCACCCAAGAGTACAGGCTGGGGTACGGGGAGGCCTCTGGGGTGCCCTGGAGCACAAAAGTGAGTCCTCTGAGGGATCCTAGGTGGCCTCAAGGGCATGCAGGAGTACCAGCAGAGTTTTCTCAGTGTACTCCAGGGTGCCTGAGATGTTTCCATGTGTGTCTGAGCGGCCTCCCAAGGCTGCTTGTGTGCTATCAGCTATCTGATCTATATCTGAGAGATCTGATCTCTATCTGAGAGTAGCAGCTGAGTTTGGCGGGGAACCTGAGAGGCCTCTCCTGCTGCTCAAGGGGCCACCCAGTGCCCCACTGTGCGCTCAGAGGCACCCAAGAGCTCCTCAATGTCCTCCAAAGTGCCCCAGAGGCCTCCAGGAGCCACCCTTGTGTGCTCTTGGGCGCCCAAATGCACCTGCAGAGCTCTGGGTCCCCCAGGAGCCTTCCTAGAGTGCCTGAGAGGTCTCCCATCCCTGTTCAGTCTGTGCCAAGCTCCATCACCACCAGCTCTACCCATTGCTGCAGGAGGCTGCTGATGTGCTGCAGGCAGCGCTGGGAGACTCCAGGCAGGTTTGGGTTTCACGAGAGCACACTTGGGGTCTCTAAGCAGAACTGGGGGGCACTGGGAGGTTATTGAGGAGCTACAGGCAGCACTGGTGGACTCCAGATGGTACTCAGTGGCACGAGGTTTGTACTAAAGGTTCTAGACAACACTGGGAGAATGCTAGGAGAACCATGGGGGCTCTAAGCTGTACTGGGGGGCCACTGGAAGAGCCCTGGGGGACAGCAGGCTGTTACTGAGGAGCTGTAGACAGGATTAGGGACCATTGGGGAGCTAGAAAGGCCTGGTGGGGGATCTAAACAATAGTGGAAGGGATTGAATTTGTATTACAAGGCTCTAGACAGCCTTGGAGGATACCGGGAGGCACAGAGAAGCTGTAGGCAGTACTGGGATTGCACTGGGAGCATACTAGGATGTTCTGGATAGAACTAGAGAGCACTGGAAGGGCGATGAGGAGATACTGACAGTACTGGGGGTGCTGGGATTGCACCACGAAGGTTCAGACAGATCTGAGGGATCCTGGGAGAGAGCTGGAATGTTATTGAAGGCTGCAGACAGCACGAGGGGGCACTGCAGAGCTTCGGGCAGCGTTTGGGGCGTGGGAAAGGCTCTGCAGTGCTGGAAGACGCTCGGAAGGATGTGGGCATCTTTAGGTAGCACTGGGGGCAGGTTAATGAGGGGCTGCAAATGGCACTGGGGGAGACTCCAAATAATGCTTGGGGGCAATGGATTTGCACTGTGAGGTTCTGTACAATATTGGGAGGCGTTGGGAGGTTATTCAGGGACTGCAGACAGCACCAGGGGGCACCGGAGAGCTTTGGACTGTGCTTGGGGGGGGGTTCTTCACAGCGCTGGGGGCACTGGGAAGGACCTGGGGGCTCTGTGAGGTTATTGAGGGGCGGCAGTCAGTGCTGGGGGGCTCTGGGCAGTACTGGGGGCCCACAGGTGACTCTGGGATGGGAAATCTTTTTATTTTTGAACAGGAAATCATTGCGGTAACAGGAAAGTGGTGGCGGTGGGCTTCTGGCCTCCATTCCTGGGCCACAGGACAGGCTCCAGACCTAAAACCTTAGAGCCAAGGCTCTGCAGGGCTGACACCTGGAGCAGAAGATGCCCTACAGTGACCTGGGTAGGCACATGCTGGAGTCCATCCAGGCCCTGTGCCCATCTCAGGCAGTACAAACGCATCGGTGTCCTGGGGGCTGCCTCTGCCAGCCCCATCCCGTCCCCTCTAAAAAGCACCTCACCCCCAAAAAAGCCTTTGTTGGGATACAGAATTTTTGGGATGGAAAATTAGGATGTATTTGGATAGTGAGTGATTGTCGGGAAAGGAAATCACTGGGATGGGATTATTTTTTTTTTTTTTCTTCATTTATTCTCGTTTCTCTCATGCAGCACTTCATTAGGGAAGCTTCCCATGCCTGCCCTGTGAATTGGAGCCTGGATGGCCACCATGGATGGGAGCAGATAGATGGATGGAGGGGGAATCTGCTCCTGTCCTGCTGTGGGCACCCATGGGAGATGCAGGGAGTGCTGGGAGGAGCCGTTCCCACGGCACAGGGAAGCGGGGGCGGCCAGGGCTGCTTTGCAGTCATATAGACCTATATAGATGCCTTGCATGTAATTGCTCTCCCGACTCCATGCTTTTCTGGTCCTGGGAGTTTTGTCCTGGGACAGGAATCAGCCAAGCCTGTAGGTCCAGGGCAGGATTTTCCAGTCTGATGCATCTTATTCCCAGGAGGGTTATAAAGGGGGACTGTAAGAAAGAAGGGGACAGATTTTAGCAGGATCTGTTGTCGTAGGATATGGGGAAATGGTTTCTAACAGCAAGAGGAGAGATTTAGGCTGGATGTAGGGAAGAAATTTGCAGTGAGGTTGGTGAGGAACTGAAATGTGTTGCCCAGAGGGATGATGGATGCCCTATAACTGGAGACATCCACGGTCAGACTGGATGGAGCTCTGAGCACCTGACTGAACTGTGGGTGTCCCTTTTTGTTGCAGGGAGTTGGGCCAGATGGCCTTTAAGGGTCCCTTCCAACTCAAACCATTCTATGTTTCTTTGTGGAGCAGTGCGTTATGCCATCTGCTCCACAAAGTTGCTGCGTCCATCCATCCCTTGCTGGGGGAAAAGCACCTTTTTTGAAGGAGGGACCACACTGCTTTGCATTCTGTCCCAAAGGGAAACTCCCTCCCTTCCTGCCATCCTTGTCACTAGAGCTCAGCTCCTCCTATGGAGCAGGACGTGCCCATGGGACAGCTGGGGACGAGCCTTGTCCAAGCCCAGCCAAGGGGATGCTGTTTGCAGGTGAGGAGGGATCTCTGCTGCCTGCAGGGCTGAGCATGGCGAGGGACGCAGCGCTTGCAAAACAGCCCTGGGATGGTTTGGGAAGGTTTGGGCGGCTCATCACCCCGCCTTGCACAGCCTGGCCAAGCCCAGACGCCCCAGGGAGGCCGGGGGAGCAGCCACGCAGCGTCTGGGCTCGGCGGCGGCCAACCTGTCAGGCAGGTTTCCTTGGAGCAGCCGACGAAGCCACCAGGGCCGGGCATGCCCCTCCGTGCGCTCGCAGGCTGACGGCCGCCCGGCTCTTTCCTCACCACCGAAGCCATGCGGGCAGCCGGGCTGCTCCTCGCTTGGGTGCTGCTGCGTCCTGCTGGCGCCCAGCAGTGCCTCCCCAGCAGCCCTGCTGGTGTCCTCCGCTTCACCGACACCCATGCTGAAATCCGAGTGCCGGCGCTGCACCGCGTGCCCAGCTCTCTTGACCCCCTCTATGGCCTCGTCCGACACTACCTGGACCTCATCCAGCAGAACCCCCTACCCACAGGTGAGTCCCCACCTGGAAAGGCAACATGACCACCACCACCACCCCTTGGAGCCCTCTGCAGTACCTGGGAGTGGTTGGTGGGGTTGAAGCTGCTTTGTCCCATCATGGAAGGGGATGCTGCCTACGGAGGGATAGGGGTGCACGAGGTGGGATGTGGGAACTGCCCTTGAGGCATTCATCGTTGCCACGGTTTGTTTGCAGAGCTTCTCAGGGCAGCCCTGAACAACCCCAGCTCAGTGCGGGCATCACAGGTGAGCAGGGACGTGAAGACATGGAAGCCACAGCGGTGGCACCCAGCCCAAAATTGGGGATATATAAAAACAAACAGATGGAACACCCCAAAACCACTCTCTGCCATCACACAGGTGGTGCAGTACGAGCTGGGCTACGTCATTTGTGCTGCGGTGGCTCTGCTCTTCACTGTGGCTGTGCCGGTGGCAGGGCTGTGCTTCTGCTATTGCCGGAGTCGGCGGCGGTGCGGGGGCCGCCTGCGTGCCCATCGGCGTTCCCTGGCCTGCCGGCGCCGCTGCCTCCTTGTCTGCCTCTCCATCACCTCCATCATCATCCTGTGAGTGTCCTGAAGTGCCTCACCCCAAAGGGAGCATGCTGATGGGGATGGGAATGGGGATGGGAATAGGGTTGGGGGTGGGAATAGAGTTGAGGATGCGGATTGGGATGGGGATGAGAGTGAGGATGGAGGTGGGGATGGGGATGCTCTATGGGACCTTCCCGTCACCTCCTGTATCCCTGGCAGGACCAGCGCCATCTGTGCCTTGGTCACCAACCAGCGAGTGAAGGAGCAGATGGAGCCGGGGCTCGGTGCTGTGCCGGCCACGCTGCGCACACTGCGGCAGCACATTGCCAACATCCCCCAGGTGGGTGCTGGAGTGACTGATATGCCAGGGCAAAGCAGTTTGGGAAGCAAATGAGATGGATGCGTTTCTAATACAACACAGGGCTTCCTCTGCTCCCTGATGATGCCCCTGCACAGCAGCTCCTCTCTCTTTGCAGGGTGTGCAAATGGCAGTGGACCAGTTTGAAGTGCCCCGGCAGCAAATAATCTCTGACCTGGGGGGTAAGCACTGCACAGACCCCCAGAGCACCCTGTTCTGGGATGGAACAAGGGGCTGATGGTCTCGTGGTGCCTTGCAGGGGTGAGCCGCAGCGTGGGGCTCTCCATCCACACACAGCTGAAGGCAATGACCTACGCAGCACTGGCAGACCTGCAGGACAGGGCGGCAGGTAATGTTAAGCGTGATTAACCTGGGGCTGCTCCCAAAGCCTTGCTTGCAGACAGGGGTGGCCGAGTGGAGCAGCGAGAACTAGCCCTGGGCTTTCTCTTTAAGACCTACAGACCTCGCTGCACCATTTACAGATTCTCAACAAGACGGTCCGAGTGCTGACAGAGGCACGGGCTGAGCTGGAGCCGGCACTGCAGGAGCGACGGCAGCGTGTGGTCGCACTCCTGGACGATCCGCGCTGCACCTCCTGTGCCAGCGTGCTGGGCAGGGCACAGAGCCTGCAGCTGGGCGCTGACTACAGCAAGGTGGGATGGGGTGCTGGTCACCCCCCACCCCTCCGACACTCACCAGACTCACAGGATGCTTTTCCCACTCCAAGGTGCCCTCGGTGGAGAAGGTGTTGAAGACGTTGGTTGGTCTGCCCCGAAGTGACTTTGCAGAGATGATTCGGCAGGTGGGTGCAGTGGGGTGGCTCAGCACCCATGGGATCTCCATCTGTGCCACTCACAGTCCCTCTTCTCCTCGCAGGGCAATGGTACTTTCAATTCTATCCCAGAGCTGGCTGTGGAGAGGATGGCACAAGTGATCCAGGGTGAGCAGAACCCCCATGAGGAGGAGGGATGCCCTCCGTGGGGCAAATCCTGATTCAGAGATGGGGTGGGACACAGGGACCCCCTCCAATATAAGCTTAGAATCATAGAATCATTAAGGTTGGAAGAGACCTCCAAGATCATCTAGTCCAACCCCAGCCTGCCCCGCCATGCCCACTGACCACATCCTTCACAACCACATCTCCACGGCTCTTGAACATCTGGGACGATGACTCCACCACCTCCCTGGGCAGCCTGTGCTGGTGCCCAACCACTTTTTCTGGGAAGAAATTGTTCCTAATATCCAATCCAAATGTCTGTTAGTGCAAGTTGAGGCAATCATCTCTCATCCTATCGCTGTTACCTGGGAGCAGAGGCCAATCCCGCCTCCCTACAACCTCCTCTCAGGGAGTTGCAGGGAGCCACAAGGTTTCCCCTGAGCCTCTTTTTCTGCAGACTGAACAGTCCCACTTCTCTCAGCTGCTCCCCATAAAACTTGTGCTCCAGACCCTTCACAGCTTTGTTGCCCTTCTCCGGACTCACCCCAGGATTTCAGTATCTCTCTTCATCTTGCAGAGCTGAGGGAGGAGATGGCCCAAGTGTCAGAGAAGGTGCAGACCATAGCCGATGGCTTCCCCCTTCCTGACTACACCCGGCACGTCAACAAAGCCCTGCTGAAGGCAGAGGACAGGAGTCAGCCTTTCCTCCGGGAGGTGGAGCGCTTCGAGTGGTACAGGTGATCCAAATGGCTGCAGGGGATGCAAAGGAGGTGGGTGCGGACCCTCTCCGAGCCCCATATGGGTCTGTATCTCAAGGTCATGGCCTGCTGCAACTTAGAATCATAGAATCATTAAGGCTGGAAAAGGCCACTAAGATCATCAAGTCCAACCATCGGCCTGTTACTTCCCCCAGGTGGGTTGCAGGCACGGCGCTGTGCTCCATCGTCCTCCTCATTGTCGCCTGCAATGTGGCTGGGATGGCTCTGGGTGCATATGGACTGTCCAAGCGGGAGGACCCAAGCGACTACGAGTGCCGAGGAGAAGCCGGTGCCAAGTTTCTCATGATGTAAGCATTACTCCCAGGGGTCTGTGGCCATCTCATGCCACCCAAAAATACAAAAAAAAAAAAAAAAAAAAGGCAAAAGCAAAGGCAGGAACCAGGAGCCAGCTGAACTGAAAGGCTTTTGTAGATTCCGCCTGCGCCGGAGGGTTTGGGAGAAGCTGCTCCTCCCTAGGAGCCAGCAGCTCCCGCACCCAGCTGGCGTGCCTGGGCGCAGGAGGGAGCCGCGGGGCCAGGCAGGTCACCGCAAGCCTGCTCAGGTCTGCAGAGCTGCCTTGGGCACCTCCTCTCCTTCTTTCAGCGGCGTGGGCCTGGGCTTCCTGTTCTCCTGGCTCCTCATCCTCATGGTTTTCACCACCTTCGTGGTTGGGGGCAACGTCCAGACGTTGGTTTGCAGGAATTGGGTCAACCAGGAGATTTACAAGGTGGGTGGACGTCTGTCTGTCTCTTCATACGCCTCTGCATGCGCTCACCAAGATGCCCACAAATGCTCTGCCTCCTGTCCCTGAACCCAATAAGGTTGGAAAAGATCATCTACTCCAACTGTCAACCTACCACCAGTATTGACCACTGAACCACGTCCCTCGGTGCCACATCTCCGTGGTTCTGGAACACTTCCAGGGATGGTGACTCCACATCCGTGGGCAGCCTGTGCCAGTGCCTAAACACTCTTTCAGAGAAATTTTCCTTAATGTCCAACCTGAAAGCCTCATCCTAGACCAAAGAATTAAGATTCCAATTGGATTGCTGGATTTGCAGTGGGAAATTGGCTTTTGCATGGTTCATTTCCTTCGTGTGACAATGCTCCCACCTGCATCACTGTCCCCTGGGTGTTTGGAGGTGCTGGGATGGTTCTGAAGTGCTCGTGATTGGCAATGCAATTCATGCAAGATTAGCTGCAGATGGGATGGGGTACACCAGAACACACATGTGAGGGCAGATCACCCCCAAAAAAACATGTCTAGGAATGTATGCGTCTCACCCTGCCCCTCTCTTTCTGACTGTTTTGTTCAGTTTATTGACACCCCTGGGAACCTCCCTCCATCCATGAACCTCACCCAGCAGCTCAACCTCAGGAGGGATTCCAACCTTACTGCTGCATACCGGTGGGTGCTGGCAGGAGCCCTCCGCTGCCCCAAATTGGCAGGAGGAGTGCTAATTGGGGTGATACCGACTGCCCCTTCATTTTGCAGGGAGTGCAAGAGTGGCGCGGGGCTGTGGGAGGTGCTGCAGCTGGAGAAGTCCTACGACCTGGATGAGCACCTCAAAAGCCCTAAGGTGAGGGCTGCCTTCAAGCAGAGCTTCTGGAAACAGCGCAGGGATGCAAGAGCTTTACTGGGGTGACTGGGATGGAGGTGCCAGGCCCCGAGCATCCCTTCTCATCCCTGCAGTACACGGCCAACTTCCAAAAACGCCTGGCTGACTTCACGGCACAGCTGGGGGATGTGCGGCTGCTCCGCAGTGAGGGCAGGAACGACCTGGAGACCTTTGCCCGCAGCGGTGTGGATGAGGTGGACTATGGGAGCTTCCAGGAGGAGGTGAGGGGCTGCTGGCAGAGACCTGGTTCCTGTGACAGTCTTTCCGAGGCTGGATTTCAAGCAGCCGATGACTCTGTTTTCCTCTAGATGAAGATCCCTGTGGTGCAGACCAGCCTCCCTGCTCTGGCTCGGAGCCTGGAGGGGCTGCAGAAGATGCAGGTGAGTGGCATGGCAGACAGCAGCAGCTGCCTGTGTGCCCACGGGACTGCCCTCACCCTGCTGTCCCCCTGCAGAGGAATGGCACGGTGGCGGGACGGCTGGCTGCTGAGGCCAAGGCTCTGTGGCGGATGCAGAACTCCACGGTGCAAACTCAGGAGGCGCTGGTGGTGAGTTCACACCTACAAGGCAGCTCCTGTCCCTGTGGAGGGGAGAAAAGGGATTTTGCAGCCTTCTCACCTCCCTGTCCTATAGGTGAAGCTGGGGGAAAGCGTCCGGTTCCTTTCACGCTTGGCACCGCACCTTCAGGTACCAAAAGCATACACGGGGCCCTGTGTGTACAGCATCCCAAAAGTGAGTCATAGGATGATGGAGACCCAGGAATGATGCCAGCCCATGAGCATCCCATCCCTGGCAGAGATGCCTCACTGCGTTTAATTGAGCCTCTACCCTGCCAGGAGGGTTTTTTCTCCCTACCCCACAGCAGTCAGACCAAATTAGAAATTTCATCCTTGGGCACCCATCCCACCAGGCCCAGTGTTGCTGAGTGCCCTGAGGGTTTTCTGTACTTCTTGCACTTCTCTAGGACCGAGTGAAGACCACGCTGGCCACCATTGCATCAGTGGAAGCCCGGCTGCCTGTGCAAGCCCAGCAGATCCTCCGGCAGGTGAGCCAGGAGCAGAAAAATACCCCACAGCCAGAGAAAAAAAGCAGTAAAGGAGCTCTGGAATCGAGGAAGAGGCAATTGGAGCCTCAAGTCCTCTTCCTAAGCCCAGCCTCCATGCCACCTTCCTTCCACCCCAGGAGATTGGCTGCTTCACAAGGAAGGAGCTGCGCTACTTTGCACAGTACCTGCACTGGGTCGGACAGACGGTGGGTGCTCACCTTTGTCAGAGTGGAGGCAGCAAACTGCATCCTCCTGAGCTGGGTGGGATTTTAAGCTTGGCCTCCCCGCTTCTTGTTCCAGCTGAGGGAGGATGTGGCTTCATGCCAGCCTCTCGCCACAGCCCTTGACAACGGGAGGGTGATCCTGTGTGATCGCATTGCTGACCCCTGGGTAAGGACCTCAGTGCTGCACCCCACGCTGGGACCAGCAACCACAAGGCTCCCCAGCCCCTTTGGTTCTGCCTCTCCCTGCACAGCCCAGCAGGGACCCATGCGCTCTCTCCTTGCAGAATGCCTTCTGGTTCAGCCTGGGGTGCTGCACCTTCTTCCTCATCCCCAACATAATCTTTGCCGTCAGGCTCACCAAGCATTTCCGCCCCATCCGCAACCGGCTCATGTAAGAAGCAAGCATGGGGTGGGCGAGTTCCAACGCAGAGTGGGCAGATATGTGCTCCTCCTTGGCTATCTGATGTTTTCTCCTTCTTTCTCCACAGCTCTACAGGCTCAGAGGAGACCTGTCCCTTCCACATCCCTCGCGTCACGGCGCTGAAGCTCTAGGTCAGGCTCTGCAGGTATGGTGGAGGCTGAGACCTGGGCTGCTTGCTGCATGCCCTATGTTTCTGCCTATCAAACTCATATCCAAGCACTGTAGAGCTTCCTCCTCCTCAGCCACCCATTCTGAGTGTGAGGCACATCCAAATGTTGTAGGGCTCCAGGTCCCTCCAACAGGCCAGCGTCCATGGGTTCTGCCTATCTTTCTTGACTACAGGGACACCCGTCTCCATGCGCTGTAGGGCTCCAGGTCCTTGCAGCACCTCTTCCTCGGTGTCTGAGTACCACCAGGGACCTCCCTGGAGCCTGGCTGACCAGGGACCTCAGGCAGCGTCCCTGCAGCTCCTTCTGACTGCTGGCTCTCCTGCTGCACACGCAGACCCCGCTGCGATGCATGCCTGGCTCCCTCTCGCCCACTGCAGCCCTCCTGCAGCAGCGCCCTGCAATGCTTCTCCACTCCTGGGATGGAGCACATTAAACCTTCCTGAGCCAAACCTACCACTGCCTGCTTCTTTTTGTGATTTTGGCAGGAAATGCTCAGGCCTGGGGACTGCAGCCTCTCAGAGGAGCGTACCCAGCTCTCAGTCCCCTCTGCTGCAAGGTCACTTTGGAGGAACTCTCACAGTCACAAGGATGAGGGCCGGGGTGGGGAGTGGAAGGGGGCGGATCTTGAGACCCTCAAGATCTTTGCTCTTGGGACCCTCAACACCTTGAGTGTTGGCAATACCTTAGGTTTGGGGACCTTGAACACCTTGGGTCTTAATACCCTCAACGCCTTGAGTCCTGGGATTCTGAACACCTTCAGTCTTGGCACCTTGAACACCTTGGGTCTTGGGACCCCGAACATTTTGGATCATCAAACCTTCAGCAGCTTGGGACTTGGGATCCTCCAGCCTGGGGTCTAAAAGCACTGGCAATATTCATCATTTATGATTATTAATTATTATTTCCTGGCCCTGAGAGGTGCTCCTGGCACTCACTAAAGAGACTGATGAAAAAAACTTTCAGTGGGCTGGGGACCAGAAAACCCGCTTGCTTAAGGCCTGAAAGATGGGAACCAAGCAAGCCCACCTCTTAAAAGTAATTAGAGGTTAGTCCAGGGAGGAGCAAAAAATGCAGGCTAAGCCTTCTTTTTTTTCATCATAAGGGACTCTTTTATGATAGGAACCATCACGTGCTTCAGGTTTGGGTTCAGAAGATGCTTACCTGTAAAGAAATGCAGCCGGAACTTTGATGTCCACTTTGTGGCATCGGTGGCTTTGTGGCAGGAAGTGCCTGCATCGCTGTGGAATCTTTCACCATCCTCAAAGCACTTTGTCCCTATCAGCAAGTTATTTTTTACAAGATCTATCGGGCAGTTGACACATCTGTGCTTTCCAAACGAGTGAGGGTTTCCCTGTGTTTCCCCAGCTGAAATACTCAGTTTGGTAACAGAGAAATGCCTCATTTTATGCATTATTAAAGGATGATTGCTACCCAAAGCCAGCGACAGCGCATAAAACGCCCGTGTTATGCATTATTTAGGTTACTGCTGCCCAAAGCCAGCGGGTTCTGTGCGCCATTTACCTGCAGAGGTCAGCATTGCAATGGGTTTTTGAAAAGGGCAAAAGGGCAAGGTAACAACTACAGAAACAATTGTTTAACTGACCGCTGATGGAAGAACAATACAGGTGTGCCAACAATGGAGCCTAATACAATTAGCTCTTCTTAAAGCCTAATCACGGTACACGAAGTGCTGCACGGATGAGTAATGAAGAGCAAAGGAATACAGTGCTGTAAACGCGTGTGGTCAGTGCTGCCGTAGCTCTGCTCCCTGCCTGGGAGGCACACGGGTTGAAAACGTGAGTGGTTGCATCTCTGGGTTAATAATAAATTACCAATGAATATTCCAGAAATTGCCCTAATCCAATTAGGTTCGAATTTTTCTTTATTTTTATGGGGAAAAAAGGAAATGAGGACAGTCTTGGTTAATGATTCCTCAGCTGAAGCGAGGCCATGGTTTATGAATAACCTCCAGCCCTTTCCTAAATGTCCCCTTGTGATGGTTTAACTATTAATGTTCATCTGTGCACCACCATAGAAGGAGAGAGAGGAAGAAAATACAATGGCAAGAGAAGGAAAGCCTTATAAATTAAGAATAGTTTAACTGCGGGGGGGAGGGGGGAGGAAAAGAGGAAAAGAGGAAAAGAAAAAGAAAAAGAAAAAGAAAAAGAAAAAGAAAAAGAAAAAGAAAAAGAAAAAGAAAAAGAAAAACAGAAACGAAAGAGCTGTGCAAAAGCAAAAGGAGAAAACGTTATTCTCTTCCTCCCATGCCCAAGCAATGCTTGGCCACTCCTTGGGAAGCAGAGCCTCAACATGCATTGCAGTTCTTTGGAGGAGAGCTGCTTTCATGGCAAGAGTTTCCCATGCTTGGGGGAAAGTGGCTTCCCCCACTTCTTCAGCCTTCCCTGATGATGCCATGCGGTATGGAATGTCCCTTTGATTGGCTTAGGCCAGCCATGATCCCAGCCGTGATCCCAGCCATGATCCCAGCCGTGATCCCAGCCATGATCCCAGCCGTGATCCCAGCCGTGATCCCGAGCTCTGCCAGCTCCCAGTCCATCGCACCAAAGCGCCGGTGCCGTGTCAAGGCTGGCGCGCCTTTCTCTCCGCTCAGTTATTTTTATTGATAACATAAAGACTGCAAATGGTGCATTTCCAGCTTCTGAATGCAGTGCTTTTTAATTAAAGTGAATACCTCCTTCATCAGAGTTGTTTTTTTTTTCCATCTGGGTTTGTCTTGGCTCAGTGCTCTGCGCATTTTTGGGACTTGAGCAAACCAGTGCTGATTGAGCCGCTCTCCTTGCATCTTCTCTCTGGAAATTCAACTCCTGCAGCTCCTCTCCTGCATGCACGCCTCCCCACGCTCTAACAGTGACCCCAAGAAGTGTCTATAATTGCTATAATCAATAATTCAATGGCCGAAGAGCAGTGGGAGCCGGGAGCTCTGGCGCCGGCCCAGGTGTGGTCCCCACCAGCAGCTATTTCCAGACACAATTCTCTTCCCTGCTCCCAGAACTAAGGACAAAAAATACAGGAAAAGTGTTTGCAGCCCCTTCTAACACAATCAGCCTATTTCTGGAATTAAAATACCGTGGGGGTATTTACTATTGTTGTTTCATTTCCCTTTCTTTCTCTCTCTTTTTCACAAGACCAACCTGTTTTTCTCCAGAAAATGGCCCCATGACCTTTCCCATCTGCTGCTCTCATCATCCCTGAAAATAGCTCCACAAGCTGAGACACAAAACTGCAGGACCCCCAGCTGCCACAAAGATCTCCAGTCTCTGTTTTCATCCCAGACCCCAGAATGTTCATTTTAGAAATATATGTTCAGAAAAGTTACTGTGGTTAAAGAGGGAGCAATAAGACCCCCGTGTGCAGCCCTGTTTCCTTTAATCCCAGCTGAGGGGTTGATGTAACTGCACTGAACTGAACATCTTTGATTTGTTTTGTGCAGTGGGTGACCCAAGGACTGCTCAGCAGAGTAACCCCAGCTCCCAAACATGCTGAGAACTCACGTCCCAGAGGCTTTGCTGCAGCATAATTCCTTTTTTACGTGACAAGTTCCTTGCACCATCGATACCACAAAGATATTTTGAACAGTGCAGATGTTTCTGGGCAGAATGCAGCCACAAAAATGCCCTGGGAATTAGAAATTGTGTTGTATTATTAGCACTGACTATTGTCTGCTATTTCACAGCTGTGTGTGAGGCTTTTCTCGCAAGAAGCCTCATTGTGCTGAGTCTGGCACGGACAATTGACCCTTGGGCCAGGTTTATGTTCCTCCATCCTTCCTAGACAGCAGCCCCGTGACAAGGCTGTATGGTTCTTGTAATCCAGTCCATAATGGCTCCGTGCAGATTTAACATCAATTTTATTACCCCATTGCCCTTAGCACTATGTCCAGGATCACATAATGCATAACACAGGCGTTTTATGCGCTGTTGCTGGCTTTGGGTAGCAATCATCCTTTAATAATGCATAAAATGAGGCATTTCTCTGTTACCAAACTGAGTATTTCAGCTGGGGAAACACAGGGAAACCCTCACTCGTTTGGAAAGCACAGATGTGTCAACTGCCCAATAGATCTTGTAAAAAATAACTTGCTGATAGGGACAAAGTGCTTTGAGGATGGTGAAAGATTCCACAGCGATGCAGGCACTTCCTGCCACAAAGCCACCGATGCCACAAAGTGGACATCAAAGTTCCGGCTGCATTTCTTTACAGGTAAGCATCTTCTGAACCCAAACCTGAAGCACGTGATGGTTCCTATCATAAAAGAGTCCCTTATGATGAAAAAAAAGAAGGCTTAGCCTGCATTTTTTGCTCCTCCCTGCTCTAAGAGCTATGGAGATGCGGCTTTGAGGAACATGGTCAATGGGCATGGTGGGGTGGGGTTGGATCTGGTGGCTTAGGGATCTTTCCAGCCTTCATGATCCTGTGGTTCTATGACTCTTTGATGACACTGGGTAAGGATGGTAAAAAAAGCTCTGAGTCTCATCTTCTGCTCTGTGCGCCCACCGTAGAAACTCCACAAATCTGAGAATTTCACTTAGAGAAATAATAATAATTGCAGATTTCAGCTGCATTTGAGCTCTGGCTGAAAAACAGCCAACATCCCCAAGGATAAACCTTTTGGATGATCCCTATTGCTCCTGGATGGGAGGGAGCACGCAGCCTTTGAGCTTTCTGTGCTTTCTGCACCTCTTGCATCCCCACTGCTCAGTGCTGAGGTAGCCATGGAGATGCCCATGGGGAGCACCGTGCTCATGACAACGACTCCGTGTGAGCATCTGGAGCATCCTCGGAGCAGCACTCCTCTCCCTGATCCCTTCCCTGCACCAAAGCATGGTTATTGGCTCTGACTCCCACGCAGGGATGGTAAAGCTTTCTCCAGCAGTAATTCTCCTGCTAAAATAAGAGGGCAGAGTATGAAACGTATGGAGCAGATTTGGTATTTAACATCTCTGATTATTTGGTGTTTAATATCCCTTTGCTATAGAGTGTCTCTTTGGTACATAACATCAGCAAGAGTCTCACAAAGAGCCTTTCATTTGTTGCTTGGGGAAAAAGGAAAGCTTTGTAATAAATCTCAGGTCAACCTCCCAGCTGGAAGATGTGCCAAAATGAGCACATCATGTGGGAAACTCAATGTATTAAAAACCCTAAGGCTGAAAACCTACACTATTTCTCACCCAAAGGCATGCATTGCCCAAGCTCTGTCTTTATCTTACTGAGACATCAAGAGGGAAAGGGGGTGAACACTGCACATGGGAAAGGCAGAAAGCAAAATGATGGCCCTGGGAAGGTTTATTGGCAGGGAGAGGGGGAAAAGGGGTTAAGGGGATTTGCACATCCACTTGGTGAGCAAAGTGGGTTTAATCATCTCATCCTCCCTGAGCTCTTGAATTAGAAACCACAACACGGGAAGCGAGAGCTG